GTTTTTTGATCATTTCATTTGAAATAGTTCCTTCTTCTTCCATCTTTTTTGTTTGAAGTTCTTTAATAATTTCTTCTATTTCTTTGGTTTGATTTTGAAGAATGTTAATTTATTATTTGTTATATTCTTCTTCTTTATCCTGTGTTTTTTATTTATGTTATTTTTAATTTATTATTATTGTAGTTTTATTTCATTTCTTTGATTGGATTTATTCTTCATTTGTTTTAATATCTTCTTCATTTATTTTGTTTTATATTTGTTTTCTTATTTGTTTTTATTTATTATTTTATTATTTATTATTGAATATAATTCTTGGAGAATATTATACAATTTCTTTATCTTCTTATTTTTTATGTATTTTTGATTATTCTCCTTTCTCAATTTCACTTGTTATTATTTTATTTTTCATTTTAATTTCATTTGTTGTTAATAGTTTGGATTTCTTATTTGTATAATGTTTATTATCATTATATTTACTTGTTTCTTATTTGTTTTCCTTGTATTCTTCTTTTTCTAATCACTTTTCTCTTGTTATTTCTTTTATCATTATTATTATACATTTTATTGTTATTTCATTTATTCTTTTCTTTGAACATGAATATCTGTGTCTTGTTTGATTTTCTTTACAAGACTCTATAACATTACTCAATAAGCATTGCAACTAATTTGATATATATTCTGAATTGATAAAAGAGTCATGTAAAGAAATAAATATAAATAATAAAATGATATTTCAAATAAGAAAAAGGAGATAATTAAATACTAATAGAAATATTTTCTATTGTTCCTTGCTCAGGGAGACCAATTAATTTGATTTAAGAATGTTTAACCATCAAATATTAATTTATTCTTTAGTTCTTAGTTGTTGAAATGTGAAAAATTCATTTCTTCATTTATTTAAGTAGAATATAATTTTAGATATTTCAGAGTTAGAATCCTCATTTAAGTTCTTGTTTGATTTTGATAAGTATTAAAACACTTATTTACTTTCATATTTTAAGAAGAACATATCATTGTCACTATATTAATATGAATAATTTTCATTTTATCATATTCACAATAAACAGATACTTTTTCATTCATAATATTGTATTAACAAATATATTTAGATTCTACAAATAAATAATACTACCATCTTTATAAATAAATACACTATTATTACCAATGATATTCTATCTTCTTAAATAACAATCACTGATATTCTTGCAATATTGAATAAGATGTTTTCTAGTAAATGGTAACATCATATTCATATGATAATTGGGGATTCGAAGCTTGGATATATTTTATGGTTCTGTGTGGTTTCTCTGATGTTGGTTCCTTCGAATCAAATGAATATTTCAAATGATATGATAATCAATCAAAGAAATGGCATGATGTAATCAATAAAATAAAAAAAAGAGCAAACATAAAAATAATTATTTAATTAAACAAAGATAAGATAGAATTAACTTTAGTATTATTCTGAGACACTACAATCGTACCAAATATTGTATGTGTATGATTCAATTTATTGTTTAAGACATATCCTAAATTTCTGATTGTTTGTTCGTCATAAAGGAGGTGATGATTTAAGTAAATCCTTGTTATATATTCCATTTTTATAGTACCTCTTTTACCACCTGATTCTTTAGTTTCGACAAAATAACCTAATTCTCTAATCATATCTGTTAAAACATTTAATGTTTCTCTAATAGAATTGGAACGTTTTCTTCTTTCAGCTGTTTTTTCTGAAACTCCAATTAAAATGTCTTGTTGAGCCCGTTCTTGACATCGTTGTTTTATTATATTATTAAAATCAATTCTCATTTCTTTATTCCATATCATCTCAACTATAGCTATTTGTCCATAAACAGAAGCCTTCTTTGGTGGTATTCTTAGAGTTATATTAAAATACTGATTTAATAATGAAAGTAGTACCATTTCTTGATGAACTTGTAAGTTTCTAACTTCAATGAACCGAGCATTTCTTGAATATCCATAACCATCAGTCATTTATTTAAATTGAAAAGAGAGATTCCTTTTTAAAATTTTACTTCTTATCCAAGCCATTGCTATCCTACTTTTTTTGGAGATTTTTCACATTTTTCTATCCTTAAACCAATTCCACTTGATTATTACTTATTTTACAATATAATTATTTTTTATTTTATAGAATAATTGCATAAAATAAAATGGTCATTCATTCTTATATATCTGTTAGTAGTTTGTTAAAGTCTTTAAAATGAAGTAAGAAAAATGAGACATACTTATAAAGAGTGTGTTAATTAGAATATTTTCATAATAAAATGTAGTTATTATTTATAGTAGTGTTATATGTTTTTTATCAACAAATTCAATGTTAGATAAGTTTCTAACAAAGAAAAAAAATAACATGAAATAATATTTTTGATAAAAAGGCACATTGTAAATTGATGAAGAAAAATTAGGAAATAAATGGTATTTTAAAACTGGTACTTTCCCACAAAAGAACTTGATACAGGTAACTCATCTGTGTTAGTCATTGAACTTATCGTCTAAAAAATATTAGTATTAAAAAAAAAATATAAGAGAAAAAGAAGAAACAAACATATTCTTTGAAAGTAGAAGGAAAATCATCTTTGAGTTTCATTGGTTTACTTCTTTTAATATTTTGAGCATTAGAAGTAAAAACATCAGAAGGTGATTGGTCTCCATCAGAATCTGTTGGAGATGAAATAGTATTAAAAATTTGATGAGTCTGTTTTTGGTCGATTTGGTTTTGTGTTGAAGAATCAGTTATTTGGGTAGAGTTATCAATGTCTTCATCCACTGAAATTTAATATTCATACAATACATAAGATGAAAATAAAAGAGAAACAAACCATCAAAATCTTCATCCATATCAAAGATTCCACTACCCGATTTCGTTTTTGGGATTTTAACTGGAGTGATTGTTATTTTTGGTATTTCATCTTGGACATTTTCTAATTTAGTTTTAATAGCATCAAGTTCATTAGAAATTAACAGCCGTTCAGCTTCATATGCTTCTTCTTGTTCCATTACAAATTCTCTTATTTTTCTTTCTTTTTCTTGGAATAGTTGTTCAACTCGTTTTTGTTTGATGGTAATAAGTTCTTTTTCAATTGGATCTCTAACTGATCCAATACTTAATGAACCAACGTATGAATTTTGACATGTTGTTGGTCTACTTTTAATTAGTTGAAGGTCAACATAAATACCAAAAGTATGAGAATATGTTAATTTTTCTCTTAATCTAATAACATCTTTAAGTGAAGGGTTTATAATAATTTCTCCATCGCAAAGTAAACAACAATCAGTACCACATGAATTACATCTAACACATGACCATTTACCAATTTGAGTAGTATGAGTAAGTGATGTATATTTGATAGTTATTTTACCTGTTCCTGTTATTGGATTAATCCATTTTAATGGAGGTATTTGTATTTGTTTTAGTGTTAATTGAATTGATACGTTAGAACATACACAACTAAATGGAAGCATAAAGGGTTAATGTGCTTTTTCTAAATAAAAGTTCTTTTTTTCTTTAGTTTTTTTTTATTATAAAAGATTCTATTTTAATATTTTTTTGTTAATGTGTAAATCTTAAATGAAAAGATGGAAGTTTATTCTCTTTTTCTTTAAATTATTTATTGTTATAATTAACAATAAATAATTTAAGGGAAAAAAATAAAATAAAATTTTACAAATCATTTTAACGATATTATGACAACACAACATCCTCATAGTCAATTTACTCAAAACCAAGAAGTTTCACAAGACTTAAATGAATTTAATAAGTTATTGAGAACTATTCAGAATGAGATTCAATCTCCTGTACTTGAGATTTTTGATAATGTCCGAGTGTCACAATTTAAACAAATGATTTTTAATCAACAACAAGTTATTGCAAATTTAAAGAATCAAATTGATGTTAGTAGTATAACTTTAATGCAATGTCAAACATTTCAAATTGAAATTAGTAGGATTCAATATTATTTAACTTTATATTCTAAGACTCGATTAAGAAAAATTCACCAAATGGCTCGATGTAATTCAAATGATACATCTAAAATGACTTCAGATGAAAATATATTATTTGAAAAATATAAAATATTAAGAAAAGAATTTCTTCAAAAAGCTCAAATATTTGAACCCAAAGCAGAAGCAAAACCAGATATGTCTACATTTGTATTTGTACGAGTATTAACTAATGTAGATAATTTCAAAATTCATCCAGAGTTTGTTTTTTTTTTCTTATTTTTTATTTTTTTATAATTTATTATGTTTATTAGATATAATGACTTTTGTATTATTAATTTACCAATTAGTGATGAATATGGATTTGAAATGCAAAAAGGAGAAGTTTATTTATTTCCATACTATTCTGTTCATGACTTTATTAATACAAATACATTTGAATTAATATAAAAGAGTTAAGAAATCAAAACAAAAAAATTAAATAAATAATAAAAAAACTGATTATTCAATTAACTATTGGTTATTTTCTTTGTTCATAAAGATTAAGAAATCAGAATATAACGTTGGAAGTGAGTATAATTCATCAATTTCATTTTGACTCATTTTTAATGATTTGATATCTTTAAATGATGTTAAGAAGAATGGTAAATAAGCAAAAGTATCCATAGGAATTTGTTTTTTACGACGAATTTCTGGGTCAACTTTAGTGATATAATTAATTAATTGTTCAAAAACATCTCCTTGAAGTTTTGGTTGTATAACATCACGTAAGACATCTCCTAAAAAGTCAATCATTGAATTTGTTTCCATACCTTTTTTAACTCCTTTATTTGCTTCATTTATAAGAATTACCAACCACCGATAAACAGTTTTAAGAAATTGATAATATTCATCACCTTGTAATGACTCAAATCTTTGTTTTAAAAATTCTTTTACATTACTTTTTCCTTTTAAAGTCTTCTCAATAGAGTTAATATGTTTGTTCTCAAAATGTTGATATAATTCACATTTTCCAATATGGCCAAGTAAATATAATTCATATCCACTCTCTCCATTAATACCTAACTTGTTACAAAATGGTTCTATATTTTCGCAATTAACTAGTCCTTCAATAGCAACTTCTTCAAAAGCTTTTCTAACAATATTTTCATTTCCACTATTACTTTTAACATCTTCTGTTGACATTTCTTCATTTGATTGAGAAACTTTAGAGTCATCAAATAATGAGGTATATCCAAAGGGTTCTTCTATTTCAGGACATCCTTGATCAAAATAACTTGAAACTGCATCATCAAGATTTCTAAATTTATTTAGGAAGTGGACAGCTGTATATTCATTATTACACCCAGAAAATTCTATGAACTTGAGAACAGTATTAGCGTCTACTTTCATTTATACAATTATTAGTTCATTTTCCTTATATTTTTTTTTTGTACTCTTTGGGTTCTTTATTTTATTAGATAAACATTATTTTTTTTTCTTTTCATCTTATTTAAACTTTAATTTATAAAAGATAAATTAACCCCTTCCTTTTGTAATTACAACTTATTTACTATTCTAAATACTTTTATTGTTATACTCTTAGAATTATTATTTAATCAATGAAGGAATAAAAGAAATACAATAAAATATGTAAATACAGATGAATTAATAATAACCATATACAAAAGGGTGTGGATAGTATACGTCTTGTGTTTCATTGTTTTGTTTCCATTGATTAATTCTTTGTTTCTTATCCAGTCTTGTAATATGATTGATTATTGAAAGATTTTCTTCAGTCAATGTTAAATTTGATTGAGTGGCTACATTCGATTTTTTTATATTCTTTTTTTTATAATATTCTTCCTTAAAATATGGGTATTGAACAAATGTAGCACATGAATCAGGTGTAATAATGCGTCCATATGAGTAACCATACTTTACTTCGCACATTGAATTTTGTAGATAACCTTTTATCCTTAAAAATGGGTTTCTTTTCGAACTTTATTGATTTTCTCTTGACCTTTAATCTTTCTTTTCCATGCTTCTTTTCTTTCTAAACTGAAATAGTTTCTTATGATTTTTA